CACAGGCAGTGCTTATTTACATTTGATTAACCACCACATAGACAGGCTCTTCCGCATGGGGTTCATTGATCGCTGGCATAAAACGAATTTACCTTCCATGGACAAATGTAATGGAAAGAATATGCAACGTCAGATTGCCAATCACAAAGTTAACATGGATGATATGCAGGGCTGTTTTATGGTACTGCTATTTGGAGTAATTTTGGCGACGATTGTGAGCTGCATTGAATTCTGGTATCACCGTTTCTTTGTGGTTAGCAGGGAGCTCAAGCGTGTCCCCTTTTCCAATTGAGAAACACATAAGATGCGTCGGATTACAGCTTGAAATGCGTAAAATAAGTTTTTGTTTAATTGTTGAAAATTACTTATATGAACATTATTTTGCAATAAAAATAGCTCAGCTTCTGTTCATCAATCCTTCTGCAAACTGATCCACTTTACGTAGAGTTGGCGTTGGGGCCACGACGACGGCCGAAGCCCTGTACAATGTTGACGAAGCGGCGATTGTACTGGATCCTGCGCTTGGCACGACCAGTCTTCTTCTTCTTCTTCTCCTGTTTCTCAACCTTGGGCGTCTGTCCCTTGACCTTACCGGCACGCGCCAAAGAACCGTGCACTTTACCACCAATCATGGGAATGGTAATATCCAGCTCGAAAGAGCTCAGAGCTGTCACAGGTGTTTCATTGGTTAGAGTGACACCCTCGCAGTTCAGGCTGAACTCTTCAGTTTCAAAGCCATGCAGCTGGGCCAGTTGGCTCTGCGAGAAACAAACGAAATGAGGTTAGGGAGAATTTTTTGTTGTGGCTACAACAATTACTCACCTTGACGCCAGCAATGGTAGCATCCTGGGACACTTCCAAAGCTTCAATATTTTCCAAGCCACGTACGAAAAGCTGCATATTGATGTGCTCTGAAAATAAAATAAAACTACATTTAATTGACACTCACATCCTATGCCTTAAGCAGTGTGAAAACACGTGTAATAATTTGCACTACAATTTTACTATCTGACCGTGCGCGATGATTTGCATTTTATGCACAACATATTCGGTACACTTTATATACACAGTTTTACATATTTACGTTATTAAAACCATTGAAATATCCAAAAATTTAGCACAAAAATCTGCTCACCTTGTCACTTTAATGCGGATCTATCGAAAAGAAAGAAATCAGGGTTGTCAGCGATATAATATATTTTGTAATCGGCTGCAGTTGTCGCTAGAGAGCGCTATTTCTGTCGGTCGACTCTGCTAGAAGTAGCTGTGCTGCCAGACGTTTCAATAATTTATGGCGCGAGACATTAACAGGAAATTATTTTTAAAAATGTATTTGTACATAATCAGTTGACGAGATTACAAAAATTTTACCTAGTTTTGAATGTATTGTGTAGATATGTACGTCACACACATAGTAAGCACATATGACAAATAGCAGCCTGACGCCACGCTAAGCCACATTGCGTGCTTACCTCAATCTACGTAAAAATAGGAATTACGTTAATCCAACCATGTCTAGACTTCTATGCCCGACTTGACCCACTTTGGTATTATGTGCGTGCGTCGCTTTTGCCTGCACATTGTTTTGTGCTCTAAGAATAGGATCTGTTGAGAGGACATTTACAGCCCATGACGGCGCATGGCTGTGTTATTCTACGCCATTAGAATAAATATTGCCGCATTGTTTGTCAAACAGGACTAGATTAGTAACATAAACATATCTTCATTGAATGCTGGGCATAAGCCGATTTAGCAAATTTACATGAATTATCTGCAACTAATGAGTGTGGGTTAACCTATTCCACAAGATCTTGGCCTATGTGGATTGAGAGTTTTTTGTATATATTCGACGTTCTTCTTTTGACTAGCAAAGGCAGTTTGTCCACTTAAACTCTGATAGTACATACTTTGAAAGTATATATTTGAACATTTTTTTATAAAGTAGTAAATTTTTTAAAATTCTTCGCTTTTAACCGAAGATGTTCATTTCATATCGGTAAGGACTGTGATTCAGATGTCCTTTTGCCTACCTTCTAGTTGGATATATGGCTATATGATCGGATTAGCAATAGCTGAGGTATATACGGCGGATTTGCGTAAACGCATTTACCTTACAGCTTGGCCAAATGGGCCAAATCTTTTGCATTCGCATAAGTATCCTTAAATTCAGAACTCCCCTACCCGTCGGCACTTTTTGTCGAAGATAGCCGCCGCATTGTAATTTGATATTTTCGTTGTATGCAAACAAAGGAAAGCGGAAAAACAAATTATTCTTGACCATGAAAACAGCAACAATTGCAAAATCGGCTTAGGATACGCCCCGCCTCTCGCTTGTTGTTTGCTGTTTTTCCGGCACGCGAGTTGCTTCCTTTTCATTGATGATTTCTAAAAAGAAATTTCCCACAGTGAATAGTTTTTACCCACAGTGTTTGCACATGACTCGCGTCTCTTATGATATCCTTGGCGGCAATGCGTAATGGGAGCATGTGTGGGAATAGAATCAATCAAGTTGCAACACAACCTTGCCTATCAAAAAGATCAAATTACTTAACTAAATTTGTAATTTGCATTATGTTAGCTGACCTGATACACAATGTGAGCTCTCGAAGGATATTATACTGAATATATATTCACAAAATTCTAAATCTCATATCCTAGAACATGTAAGGGTGTCCACATTTACATATAAGTATAAATTTTTATTTTCTTATATATTAAACTCAGATATTTTATAAAAAATTGTTATCAAACAATTTGAATAAATTCAAATAAAATATGATGTGTAAGGGAATCATTTAATTTTGAAGTATATGCTTCCAAATTTTGTAAGTTTTTCATTACAAATCTATAAAAAAAAGTGCCGATATACAAATAATAATCTGAAAGTTAATTGATTGAAATATTTGTGCACATTCAAAAAAAAAAAAACAAGTTTCAAACAAAAGCATGCCAAAATTAAGAAAATTGTCTCTAAAATTTAAAAAAAAATTTTTTTTAAATGCATTTCTAAAAGAATGTTCCCTTATTACTAATTTCAATTGGATTTATCGCGCATAATTCATTTTTCACCAAAAATGTAAATCGTATATTTGTCCCATATCCACACGACTTGAATTTGAATATTGGATCTAGCTTATCATATTGGCCTGGAAAACCAGTTTATTTTAGCAGAACTATATAAGTTTTCAAAAGTTAAGCTTAAGGTATAAAAAGTATATAATTTTCATTCTTATCGAAGTTTGATCTCAATATTTAAATTTTTTTTAAAATTCTTTTATTTTATTGAAGCAAATGGATAAACAGTTTTAATTGTATACTAAAATGAAATTAGTTTATAATTCGTGTACTCAACTATGGATTTTATTTATATAATTTAAGTGTTGCTTAATATCTATGTATTGTCTTCGTATCATAATTATAAATGTATTCAATAATGTGGTCTATTTACAGAAGGTCATCAACCCAATTACAATCACAAGTTACACAGTAACAGCCAAATTTAAACATTTCCATTAAGCGCAAGACTCAAGGGACTTTTCATACAATGATTAACATCTCCTGCTCCGGCTCCGGCTCCGGACTAGATGCGTTGGATGAAAAGGTCGAGTCGCAGCTCTCGTCCTTTTCTCGCTTCTCACGTCTCTCCCGGGCACGACGATTCTGAAACCAGATCTTCACACGCGTATTGGTTAGCTCCAACGAGTCGGCCAGCTTGTTAGCATCCTCCGCACTCAAATAGTTGGATTCCTTGTAAGCTCGTTCCAAAGCCTGGAGCTGGGCGGGCGTAAACGGAATACGTGGCAGACGTCCAGGCGTGCGCTTAGCGGGTCCCTGACGCAGCGCGCGCGGGAGCTTGGGCGGATGGTAACGTGTATACTGAAGCCAATCGTACATGGGCATTGGTCCGTCATCCATGGACGCGGATGCTGTTGATGGCAACTGTTCCTTGAGTGCAGGCTGCGCATATGGATGATATGTGGGATGGTATCTGAGCCGCTGCAGAATTCCTAGTGAGGCATTGGTGCCGACGTATCTATCACCGGCGCGGTTCAGTATGTAGTCGATGCTGAAGTCACTCATTCTGTTCAATGATCCTCGTGTGTGCCAGTGCTGAATTGCTACTGTTCAGTGCTCTGCGCATCCTTGGCTATTTAAGGCCGCTGTCGACACAGGAACTGCCACCATTTTGTGCACCACAATGGCACCACAGCCACATACCATATCGCTATCCTTGTCCCACATTCCATTGAGGTACTCGAGTCTCATTTGCGGGCAATGAGGCGTTTAAAAGGCGTTGCCCTGCCCAGGTAGGCTGTGCGTTGTTGTTACCCTTATAGGACCGTGATTAGGCAGCGCAAGTAATTGAAGTTGACACACGGAACCGGCCCTCGGAAGCCCGCCCAGCATAAGATACAGATACTTGAGTGATTTGAATGGCCTTCTCTCTGTGGCTTATACATATCCGTATCTGCATCAACAACTATTGCTGCTGCTGTTTAATGTTTGCGTTTTGTGTTGTGGTTATCGTTGGTGGTTTTCGGGGTGGTGCATGGCCTGCCTGGCCACCCCTCGCCCTAATCTACTCATCTGCTGCGCCATTTTCGATGAGAATACGAGTTGAGTCCCAAATTTTAATATGTTTTGATTGACTCGTAATTTTGTTTTCAAAATAACGAGTTCTGCCGAGAGACTCGGCACAAAGTATCAGTTACAATTGAATTTGCAGGCATATGTTTGCTAAGCCTGAGCTCATTTTCTTTTGAATTCTATTCATATATCATTTATATGAAATCTATTAAAATAGGCTAAGTAACTAATATGTTTGTTTGTTTAATGAACGAGAATTAACTAATCTTTAACAAGCTCTTGCACCTGTCGACTACTCGAGTGATTCGCGCCCAAGCTATTGACCAATAGATAAGATACAAAGTAAATAATTTCATTTTTTTTCTTTTTATTTTTAAGATTATTGCTAAAACAAACTTCTCAGCTGTACAGCTGTACTCCGATCGCTGATATTGCCGCAATTGTCTCTTGCAATTGTCATATAATTGTAAACTAATTTGCCTGAAAGATTCTGGGGTGAGATCGGAACTGGCGATAGGCATTGGCAACAATGCTCGTAGAATTGAATTACTGCCACATATAGTGATTTCGAGTACACGAAGGAATGCAGATGCATCTTGTCTAGGGCAATTACATTTCTGTCTGTGGTTGGTGATGCGGTACTCCAACCACTTCGGCAGCCGGAATTGATTGAGTCAACTGCCTGGGCTCGCACAGATGCAGAACTTTTTGGCCACTTTGTCATCTATACACTTGGAGTGTTCATTGTAAGACGTCATTCGGCTGATGCTGGGCACAGAAATAGTGATATTCTGGCTTATTTCATTCCACTCCACCGTTGCTTCAAAGAGCGCCTTCGCTGGTTCCGTCTCATATCGGACGAGGTAAGAGTTGGATTGCCTTGAGTTTGTCAAAGTTTTCTTTTGCACAGACTCAATACTATTTAGTTTTAGGATATGACAAATACCAATTAAATTTTCAGCAGCCAAGTAATTGTTCGTTGCTTCAACCAACTGTTCTGCAATTAATTTTGCTTTTGAATCAGTCTTCGGAACATTTTCGAGCTCCACACAAGTACACCAATGCTCATCAATGCCAGCATCTGAGCAATCTCTTGATTCATCCAATTCGTAAAACAGACTATGACAGTTGGGACAACCATCAGGTCGTGGCAAGTCTGCCGGCGGCGTTTCCAGCTCCAGAATATGCTTCAAAGTGGCATAGATATCGTATGGGGAGCTCAAACGATTCCTGTTTAGCTGTAAATTATGCGCGAACTCTGGATATTTTTGCCTAAACCAATGCGGCAGCCAAATATACATAATGGGCATCCGTTCCTCCAGAAATCCACTCTCCAATCCGCGAAGCTTACCAAAACGCATACCATGATCACTAAAGAACAAAATAATCGACTCTTCAAATGCTCCACTTCTCTGCAATGAGCGCATGTATTCAACGATTTTGGCATCCATAGAAGAGGGCAAGGCAAAATTATTATGACTAAATGTATTTGTCCAGAACATGCCAAATGTGGACTGATTTTTGTAAAATTCCGTAAACTGCAAGGCAAAATCATAAATGTACTCCGCAAAATGACGACGCCCCACACAGTATGGTAAAGCCGTGTCGTATTTCTTCTTTAGCTCCTTCTCAACGGCCAAGATTAAGGGACGTGCATAGTAGTCCGTTGGAGGATCCCTAAAGCCTTTAAACACATAGTCAAACGTAGAATATTTACTCCAGTCCTCCCCATAGGCAGTGACATAGCCCTTCTCTTTGTATTCTTTCCAGAGCATTGGGCAAGCATCCAGGCCGCCCACATTCATTGGCTGGCAGACAGATATGGAGCCAGTGCTGTTCAAGCCTGTCAGAATCGCCATCAAATTGGGAAATGTATTATCTGCCATCTGAAAAACATCGCATAAGTTCACAGTGGTAACGATATATAGCTTACATACTTTTACACTTACCTTGTTGTAGCCCTGCAGCTCGAACCAATTCTCTTCTTTGAGATACTCGAACATCAACGGCATAGTCCGCTGGAAGTTCATTCGCGACAATGAATCAATGCCCCACAGTAGAACACTCGGCCTTCTCTCGGTAGACTCACTTGTGCTTGAATCATTCACAGCTGTTAGATTGTCTGAATGTTTAGCTGGTTGCACAAAACTGAAAGCATCTTGTTGCAATAGCCTTTTATCGCTTAGTCGACGGCACTCGGTGATGATGGCATCTACATGACGTGGAACATTAAAGTCTTGATGAAAATTACTACAAGGCAGCAATCTATAATTATAAATTATATATTAAGTGATTAATTTGAATATATTCTGTAATGTACTTACTTATACTCCATATCCGCGTAGGCGCCAACTCCGGAGCGCAGGATTTGCTTATAGCAACACGTTAAATTCGCCTCGCTCATATGCAAACTGTAGACTCCCTCCTTAAAGTTCACCTTAATGAGATCCTTGCCGGGCTCGCACTGCCTGTATAGTACTTTTCTGTATATCATTAGAACATCAGACGTAAAGGGATCGGGGGCTGGCATCCGACAATTTGAGGTGTTCACAAAGAAGTTTCTCATCGTGGGCTCTGTTAATATGCAAGGAATTTGACTCTATGAAATACTTTCACAGTTTCACATTTACCTCGCGTTGCATTAAACAATTTTATTGTTATCTGAGTAGAGATCGTAGTATTTGTTATATTTGTTGTAGTTATGGTGTCCGCATATATTCCAGTATCCACGAAATATCTTAGGTAATATAGGACAATCAGAACAATTAAGGAACAACCCGAAAAAAGCTTTAAAATTAAGCGGAAACTCGAGGGTTCATTTGGCGCCGGACCTTGCGGCCTAATTAACCTATATTTAATGTTTGCCATCGGTATCAATACATATTAAACACATTTCACAATCGGGGTTTGCTTGTGCTGTGTTCTGAGTGGTGCCTCATATCCAACTGATTGTGGTGGCATTTCAATCCCAACGATCGCATTGAAAATTTATAAAAAAAAAAAAGCGATATGAAGCTTCTTTCATTATTGACTTCAGTAAGCTCTGATATGGCCTTATCAGTGCCAAGGAATACATTACATTTTGAATATTAATCTAAGCACTTAGGAAAATAGAAATATTTCAACGTTAAGCCTCGATGAGTAAATCGAAACAATCAGTTTTTCCTCAATTTACCTTATGTTATCAGTACATATACATTTTTTAATACACATCATTTATTTATACTATCAGCTATATCGAAAATCAGATAACTTGCACATTTTATTTCCTGCTACTAAGTAAGTCTTAAATACTAAATTCAATAAAGTTATAAATTGTTTGTGTTAGATATATGTACATATATATATCGATCACTTAGGACTTGACCAATCGAAGCAAATGCAAAACTTCTTAGCTATATCGTCTACGTAGATATATATGTATATAGATCGACTCATGTCGCCTCAAAGATAGCCTTCTCAGGTTTGGCTTCATACCTGACCAGGTAAGACCAAAATACTTTTGGATCCAACGAAAAAAATATTTTTAATAAATTCATGGAATCATTCTTAGCTAAGCTTAAAGATGAAACATGCAGGAAATGTTCAGTTGGCCTATTAATATGAATGCGTATTAATATTATTAAAAGAATATGCATAAACTGAAATTTCAGTTTATAACATATCAGCAGATTAAAGACAAATCTATAAACTAATATAAACATAGAAAAATTTTAAATTTTATTTAAATACAAGAATAATTATTTAACCTAATATAATAGAGAGAAAAATATTTCTTTATCGTTTGGGCTCTGGCAAATCAAAACAAATGCAAAACTTTTTTGCTATACTATCGTCTACGCACTTGGATAGTTCACTGTAGGCGTCCAAGCGACTTATGTCAGATACGTTTATTGAAATTAGCTGCGACTTTTTGTCCCAGTCCGTCGAAGCCTCAAAGAGAGCATTCTCTGGCTTTGCTTCATACCTGACCAGGTAAGACTCAAATTCCTTTGGCTCCACAGATATTTTCCTCTGCACCGACTCGATATTCGAAAGACTAAGGGTCTGGCAAATATCCGTCAAGTTGTTGGCCTGCAGATAGGCATTGGTGGCAGCAATAAGCTGCTGTGCGATTTCCTTTATGTGAATCTCACTCCGGGAACTATTTTTTAACGTGTGGCAGGTACACCAGTGGTCTTCAATACCCGCATCTGAGCAATCTCTCGATTCAGCGACTTCATAGAAGATGCTATGGCAAGTGGGGCATGCTTCGGGTCGTGGTAATTCCGCCAGCGGTGTCTCCAGCTGCAAAATATGCTTCAATGTGGCGTGGATGTCGTATGGGGAAGTTAAACGATTCCTGTTTAGCTGTAAATTATGCACAAACTCTGGATATTTTGCCCTAAACCACTTTGGAAGCCATATATAAAATATTGGCATTCGCTCCTCCAGAAACCCACTATGGAGGTTACGCAGTGGACCAAACCGCATGCCGTGATCACTGAAAAATATCACAATGGACCTTTCAAAGATGCCAACTCTTTGCAATGAGTGCATATATTCCAGCATCTTAACGTCCATGGAGGAGGGCAAGGAAAAATTATTATGACTGAACGAGTTTGTCCAGAACATGCCAAAGGTGGACTGATTTTTGTATACTTTCTTAAATTGTATTGCATAATCGTAGATATACTCCGCATAATGTCGACGACCAACGCAGTAAGGAACATTGGATACCAATGCCTTCTTGAGTTCCTTCTCGATGGCCAGCACCAGAGGTCGTGGATAGTAATCTGTTGGTGGTTTGACGAAACCCTTCTTATTGTAGTTGAAGGTCGCAAAACGCCCCCAGTCTTCGGCGTAGGCTGTAATATATCCCAGCTGCTTGTAATCCTTCCAAAGTAAAGGACAAGCATCCATGCCAGCGACAGCCTTTGGCCGGCAAACAGACATGGAGCGGGAGTTATTGAATCCTGTCAGAATCGCCATTAGGTTGGGAAATGTGTTGTCTCCCATCTTAGAAATTGATTAATAACACTCTAATTATTAATAAATGATCTTGTGCGCTAACCTTGTTGTATCCCCGCAGCTCGTGCCAATTCTCTCCTCGCAAAAATTTGTGCATCTGAGGCATAGTCCGCTGGAAGTTCATTCTCGACATGGAATCAATGCCCCAAAGCAGGACACTTGGCCTGCTTTCTGTTGGCGTTGAGTGACTTATATTTAAGGCAATTGGGGCTGTTCGATTGGCCACATGTTTGGCTGGTTGCACAAAGCTAAAGGCGTCCTGTTGCAGCAGCTTTTTGTCCTTCAGGCGACGACACTCGGTGATAATGGCATCCATATCCTGAGGCAGGACAAAGTCCTGTTGGAAATATTTACATGACCACAATCTATGATCACATATAGTTTTTACTCTCTATTTATCCCATCAAATAAAATAAATATATGTGTGTATGTATATCTACTTGAACTGGTTGTCCGCCTCCGCACCATTTCCGCCGCGCAGAATCTTTTTATAGCAGCATCTGATGTCTGCCATATTCATGTGTAGCTTATATCGTCGATCCGTCTCATTGTAACTCACAGATATTAGAGCCTTTGATTTATCGCAAGGGGAATAGGTTGAATTTTCAAATATTCTCAGCGCATCTTTTGCAAATGGATTTATAGCGGGCATACGACATCGTGAGGTATACACAAAATAGTTATCCAAGATGTTGGGACCTATAGGTTAATATATCTTGCTATATTTCATTATTGTAGCAATAATATAGCAACATATTTTTACCCAACATTTCGGAGGAATTTTGTAAAGTTCTTAGCTGCGGTGCAGTCGAAAAAATATTGCCCCCATTAAATGAATTTTTCTCTGTGCATGCAATATAATCATCGTATGGGGTGTCAATCATATCTGGCCTCAGAGAACTCAGCGTTGGTGAAGTTGTGAAACTATAGACAAGAATTAGCAGAAATATGCCACAAATAATGCAAATTTTCCAGGTCTTCTGTCCGGCGGATCTATCGGTAAGCCAAGCCATTTCCGGTTGAATAAGTTCACCAGCTATTATATGCCCATTGCGAGTTGAACTGATCGCGCTGCTTTTCTGAATCAAACTGTGCCATTATAATCTCCATATAATATTCAGAGCTCAAGTTTAACTTCGAATTCAGTTTTATCACAGCTCTGAAAGGCATTCAGCTTCTACGCTCGTTTATCAAACAGCACATGTGCAAGCATGTATGTATAGAGTCTTGTGCATATGTAGTATATAAATACACATATTTGATAAGCATCCTTCTAAGTAATACCCGCATAAGTTGGTGTGTATGTACATATTTGAGTTATGCCTATTGAAAGTGGATAAGTATTTAATAATGATAGATCGATATTCCGAATATTTCTCTAAGGCAGAGCGTTCTCTCATAATAACAGTTGGAATATGATGGTTTTCCGAGAAACATAATAAAGAATTATATTTACAATGTATTGAATTGTTATTCGCTTTTTGTATTTTTTGTTTTATTTCAATAATTTAAGTCAATTAAAAATGTACATATACAATAATATACGTATACTTTTTATAACACAAGTATACACAAAACTTCATAAATAATAAAAATATGTTCATGAAACGCATTACAAATACCACGCACATATTCAAATATGCTTTTTAAATTGTACGCAGATTACAACTGGCCACAAAAATGTGAACGGCCAGCGGAATCTAGTAAAAAATGCGCGCACATTCTAAAAAACTCGTGTTCATTTCAGTTTTAGCTAGAGCATAATACATATGTAATAGTATTGTAATATTATTTCATACATTGACGTTTACACTTATTGTTCTGTCGACGTTTTATCTAGATTAATCTGTATTCAGATATTTCCTGTTTCTTTCAACTACATTCATTTGCATTCTACTGTGGGTAAGTTCTTTCATCTTATTTATGTTTTCTTTCTTTTTTTTTTTAGTTTTTACGGTTACTTTGTTTTATTTGTTGGTAGGTTGGATTTCCTTTGCTCAATACAAATTTAATGCCTAATACATAAGTTGCCACACCTTGGTGTGAGCAATTGCTCATAACAAATTCTAATACATATTATAATTTCTTCAACGACTGTATTTTGTATTTTACTTTAAACGCAATCTGCATTATATACTTTAAATGTATTTTCTCGGTATCTAAATATTCTCAACGTCTGTAGATGACATTAATTTAACCACTGCCCGCCCTGCTCGTCATCAGATAATTCGACCATTTATGAGTTAGTTACTTCCACATAGTTCGCCGGATACAAGCCTACTCGGCCATTCATGCGACCTTTGCACCAGCCTTGTTCATCCTCATCCTCTAGTTTCTCAAAGACATCACCTGATGAAATAGACATTAATGATTAGAAGGGGGAAAATGAGATATATGCTATATGAGTGTGATCGATGCTTACCTTGCTTGAATGTTAGCTCGTCGCTTTCAGCGCCGTCATAGTCATATAAGGCCTTCACTGGCACACCCGGCTCCCCGTTGTCGACCAGCACATTGTCAGCCTCATCCCACTCCTCCTCCTCGTCGAATGGGTTTGAGTCGACTTTGCCGTTGCCATTACTGTGTGTGCATGCAAATTGAAATCAATTAGTTCAATGAAAATGAGCGACAAATCCAAATAGCAGCAAGCAGCCACAGCTGTGACCACTGAAGTGTACTATCCCAAACAATTCAAATTCAGAAACAGTTTCCAACTTACGTTACGCTCGAATTGCGATTTGAAGCCGCCGCCGCCGCTGACGCTGCCGTTGCTGCTGACGTCGCAGCGCCAGCCGCCGATGTTGTGGACACCGTTGATTTAGTTTCGACTGTTGAGGCAGAGGTTTGATTTAATGCTTGTTCCTGCTGGCTGCTCTTGCCGCTCGCCGCTTTGCTGTTAACGCTCGCGTTCTTCTTTAGACTATTTGTAGAAGGGTACTCCTGTGCGGTAAATAAATGAAGACATTAATAAGACAATTATGCATTTAATTAGAGATGCCGCGTGACATACATGCACATCCTCAGCGACGGGTCGTTGATTGATGAGCGTTATGGCCGCTGCAGGCAGAGCCTCTTTCGATTTGTTGCCCTTGGCTATATCACGGAACTCCTCCGTATATTCCTGCAAACACAAATTGATTTACAATGAATTCGTTAGAATTACATCTAAACACTTACCACAAATGCAGGCCAGTTCATGGCCATATTGATACCATGGTTATTTGACCACCATTTCAAGTCCTTTTGTTGGTCCGCATTGTTGATTGTATGATAGAACTCCTCATAGATTTGGGATAGGCTGCAATAAAAGAGATGGTAAATAGTATGGATTTCAGAAGAGCCAAAATTACCTTTGAAACTTACTTTTGCACTTTGGTTGGATCGAGACACTCATGCACATTAAATAGCACTTCTTTGAAGAACTGCAGACGTGTCCTCTCCATGTTTTGGCACTTCTCAAATACGGATGTCATATCCTCAATGTAAACGGAATTATATTTGGTTATTTCGCCAATGGCCTGCTCATATTTCTCGCGGCACTTTTGAACTTGATCTTTGGTCTTTTGCACGCGATCGTGCATCTTTTTCACCTGCGAAAATAATACGCAATAAAGCAAAGCCATACAACTGCCGATACTGTCTAACGGTTATAGTATAGAACTAACCTGATCTGGTGACAGCGAGCTGTCCGCATTGGCGTTGCGCTCTTGATTGGTGGCGCTACGTTCCGTTTTGCATGCTGCGTGATAATCTGCTTTGGCCTTCTCCACTTTGGCCAGCAGTTTGGCCCAGGGCTTCTGTGCCTTTTTGAACAGATCATCCATGTCTTTGCGTTCCTTGATCTGCATGAGTGTGTGATGGAAGTTATCCTTTTGCCAAGTCTTAATCTGACTATTGACATCATTGCACAGATTATCCTTGATCTTCATGTGTACATCTGACAATCGCTCCGCTTCGGTTAATACACCCTTCCAAGCTGCCTCCGTTGTGCCATATTCTGGTCCTAGAATCGAATCGAAACAAAAATCGAATTTAATTGATTATCAAAACTCGTCACATATTCTTTGGTGGTAATGATGTGTAATTTTTAAACGATTTTCGAGAGTTTCTGTCTTGTTGCTGATGTCATCAACGACAGGCGTTCTTATCTAATCACCTGGAAGTCTGTTGCTAATGTGTGCATGTGTGTGGGGCGTGTATGGGGAGTGAGTGGGTACGGCAGAGCTTAGGCATGTTTACGGAATGCTAACAACAACTGAAAAAAACCGTAATAAAGTTTATACGATGCCCACTTAATAATTGCAAATTGGGAATGCACGAAACTCGTTTGACCATTTTGACTAACGGCCACTCAACTATTCTCAATTGGCACCCCACACACACACGCGCACACGCATACAGGCGCGCATCGTACAAATTGAGGCGCTTAGCACAAAAATAAACACGTTCTATTTTCCCATCGCATTGATTTTTGAAACCATTTCGAGTGACGCTTTGGTGCCGGTTTACTATGCTACTCTTTCAATTGGCTGAGTAGGTGTGCCGGTCGAGGGGAAGAGACCTGAGCGGTGGCCCGTTGATAGCTCTGGCTAGACGCAACTAGGCAAATTCCGTACAATATTGTCGCGCGCTCGATGAAGCCGCTTTTTTTTTTTTTTTTTTTGCTATTGCTCTTTGTCGTCGTGCTCACCGTGAAAGTGGGCTGAGAGCAAAGGCGGGCATTACAAAAAGACAAAAACAAAAACATTAGCAATGGCAAAAGCTGGTAGCCAACATTGCTCACAGTGTACTCGATTTCATTTCACAAAGACATCGCGCACACTGGAACTGAAATGAAGACGAAAACGACTTCAATCGGTGTAGTGACATTTGCCAGTTAGGGAAATTCGGCATTCCACACACTAAATGAAGAGCTCTATCAACTGGTTATCAAATTGATTGGCATAACAATAAGAGCATTGTTGAGTTTAATATCGGTATTTTAGGTAAACAATAATTTAACAAATTCGGAACATAAGCGATACAATATGCATAGCTGAGATGATCTTTCAATATTTTTTAACGACTTTATCAGTTTCCAAACAGCCTTAACCTGTCTAACAGTTTGCTTTGAGCGCTCGATGGAATAGTTTTCCAGTTCTAAAACAATTTCGTGTGATTTGGCACCAGAGTGCGAAGCTGCCGATGACAACAGGTATGAGACAGTGCAAAACAAAAACAAAAACAAAAAAAAGGGGGCAACAAAAAGCCCATTAATAGCTTAAGCCACTTATCGCACAACAACAATGCGCAGTGTACACAAAATGTGGCAAAATAAGAACTGAATTCTGTCAGCCCACTGAGCAGAGACGCTGGCAACGGGTCATCACTGTAGTTGTTGTTGTCGCTCCATTGGTCCGCTGAGCAGGCGTGAATGAATGTGTAAACAAATAACACGGTTATATGCATACAGTTACATATTCAAGTAGAGTACGTAGTATTTAATGTTTCTTTATAACTCCTTTCCTCCTACTTTACATACATACATTATTCAGTATCTGTCGCCGTCGTTGTTATGTGACACAATAATAATTTCCTTTGCAAATCGCGTCAAACGAAAGCAAGACTTCAGCTATGTATATGTATAAATGCTTAGAAAACGAATCACTACTACTTATATTTATTCCAAATTTCTAATCTGTTATTGATATGCAGAGTATTGGGCAGTCGCTCACAAATTATTAACTCGTTTCGCTTACCTTTCTCAATGAGTTCACCCCACTTCTTTGACCAGGCGCGCAAGCTTTTGGCATATCCCTTCTCAATATCGGCACGCTCCTGTATCAGTTGCTGTAGGTCATTGCAGAGTCTGTGCGGGCAGATGAGAGAGGGAGAGAGCAAGACACACACAGAGAGAGTGAGCGAGAGCGACAATATAAATAACTGGTTTTCCAGTTTGTTATTGCTGGCAATGACCCTAACAGTGTTTACGAATTGTATTTTCATACTCACTTGTAGCTGTCTTCGATGCGTTTGGTGGTTCGTTTGTAATTGCCGGGCTCCCAGAAGGAATCACTTCCAGCCTGCAGAAGCTGTTCATCGCTGTGGTGGGACATTTCCTAAAAAAAAAATTACAATTAAACAAGTAACAATTTGGAGCTTAGCCAACGACCAACTGATTCCGTATTGGATTTATCCGACTACTTTTAATGGCAAGGCAACACACCGATTCTTCAAGCAGCAATAAATCGACTATTCGTACTACAATAAACGATCACTGTGCTTGCCTCTCGGGCAAGTAAATATATACATACATATGTAATTCGCATGATGAGACACAACTACTCAAAAGCAATATATACTCAATTATATGAGTTTCATTTAACTTACGTAGTGAAATCATTCAAAATTACACGATTTAACAAAAATACAAATTGCGCATCATCATTAAGCAATTAAAAAGGAATTCTTATACTCGTTTTATCACAGCATGTATAAATCAATAAAACGTGAGTGTAAAAGCCTAAGAATATGTGTGTTTTCTATTCTTAATGGAACCTACGAATAACATCATCAACAGGTTATGATTAAGCATGGTATTTGGACATGTAAACAGGTAAGACATCAATCTATTTTTATATTTATTAAAATAAACAAACCATTTTACTGCTAGACAGAAACTCAATTGAGTTTTGATTTAAAAGGCCAACCAATTGTCAAACTAATTGGCGCCGTTTACGGTTTCGATCCTCTTATGTACGCACCCAATGCGATTACACACATACATAGGTATGTTTATATACACACTCTTTAATATACACAGCATATATTTATATACTATATTGATAACAGTACTTCAGTAATGTATGTGAGGTGGAAATCGGGAACACTTTTATTAGATATCTCTTATTAGATATCTCTCATATCAAAACTTTGTACGATTGATTTGGTAAACGCACAATGAATAGTATCGACTAAGGGACACCCTATCCACAGTTCCACAATATCTAATTCATATAAACAAGAAATCAAACGTATAAACAAACTTAGTAGCGCCTATTAATTTAAATTGAAACTGCATGGGGCTCTTCCAAGAAACATCAAGATTAGGTCGACTGCTGATATTGCGCAAGTATTTAAATATATTATTGATTACATCAGCATGTACATATATATGCCTTTATTTCCCCTGTCTATGACATATTTCCGCAAAGCAATCAGACCCTTATATGCTTCTCCTCACAGGGTGTAGCAAAATCGTCAGCTGTTTGTAAACAATGCAAAGGTTGCCTGTCAAACACTCACGCATACACACATAGGCAGGTATACACATCCATGCCCGCATACACACACACACACATATGCAGATAGAGACACACGTTATCAATGGAGCCGCATGCAGACATTCGGTCACTGACTGCCGGCGTTTGGCCGGGCTCCAAGCAAAAGAGTGAGAAAGAGCCTTCCGTTTGGGAATAGGCTGCGCCCCATCCACTTTCCGAGACGAGTGACAAGCGATTGTGGAGCGGACGAACTGGCAGCTGAGCTGAGCTGAGCTTCGCTTTTGACATCGTCATCAGCCAGCGTCAACGCTCTGCGCCGTATTGCTTGCGGTGTTTTATTTCCATTGGGTGTTGTGTTCGCTGTGTGCTGTTATAAATTTAGCTGCATGCAGTCATAACTACTTATTTAGCATTGTACACGTTATGCGACTTTGATTTCTCGTAGTCAAGTTGTTTATTAATTTGATTATTGTTGTTGCAGCAGATGTCGTCGGAGCTGCTGCTGCTGCTGCTGCTATTGCTGTTTTTCTTGTTGTCATCGTGGCGGTCACCGACGCCGTAGCATTGAAGTAGAAATTTTTAACAGAAAGTTAACAAACAGGTTGACGCATACTTCGCATATTTGTCGAGATAGATAAGCAGTCGCACACAGAGAGATACAAACACAGCCAAACACATATACGCACACACATACATACACACTCACTTAAGGAGCTGTAGTCTAAAAAAGATAAGCAGCGCGCACAAGGCCCAAACTCGTTTATCTTTGGCCAAGATTGAACAATTTTACGAATTAATAACAAATATTTGCACCCGTATCCAGCTGCTTAGCTTATATAAGTTCGAATTCTAGAGAACTTAATATTTTGTTTAATAGTTAATGGGCGCCATTCACACACACGCACGCACACTTGCTCACTCAAATTGTTTCCTTTTTTTTGCACTAATTTAGCGACTGAAGCGCAGCGAAGAAGAACACTTCATACACACCAGCAGGCACCCATACATATACACATACACACGTATACAACATTCCGCTACACAATCCCGCACTGTTGTCCGCACCCAAAACGTAAACGCGTTCACACGAAATGTTCTATCCAATGTTCTTATTGCTGTTGTTGCTGCATTTGTCTTGCCACACGAATTAATTGAAATCTTTAGATATTTGGCATATTGTGGCACTCGACTAATATTTGCATTTGATGCCGTGTCGATTCAATTGAACATACCAAAAAACAAAATAGCCGTAAAAAGCACTACAACTTGCGTGTGTGTCTGAAATCGCCAACTAAAAAAAACTAGCAGGGCTGGCAAGTAACAACTAGACTTTGTGCCAGCGAGGGCTACAAAATACGACTGGTTCGCTGTGACAATTTTTCAGTTCCAATGCTGTAATGACACACACTTAGTTGCAATGTGTAAATGTCAAGTGAATTTGTCTTACAATTAACGAAATTAAATGAAAAGATTAATTTAAAAAAACATTGGAATGATTTTATGTACATTTGAACACATGGAAAACCCAATTTCTCGAGCATATTTGTGTATGTTTGTGTTCCATACTCTGTTCTGTTAGTTAACAGTTGAAAGTAAGGCTAGGATAGCAGAATGCACCGTTATTTTGCTGATTTGCCAAAACGCTCTCATTTCAAAGATAATTCAAAAGCTCCTAAATACCAATTTACTTACTTTGGGTTCAATAAACGTCAGAGCTGAGTGCAACCAATTGGCCAATATGACACGCACATGGATGTTGATACTGTTGTCCATTATTAATAACCAATTTAACATGTGTGTTAAAACTAAAGTTTTTATTTGACAGATTTCTCATAGTGACTCCTCTCGCGCTACATACGAGAGCATAAATTCAATTTTCTTAATCAGTTGTGAAAGTTTGGTTCGATTCAGTTCGACACTTCCACTGGCTAGTGCGAACAGCTTTTGGAATTCGGCCTCCTCTGAATGTTTTCGTTTGCTCAGCGCTTTGCTCTGCTGTAGCAGGTGGAGGACATCGCTTAAAGCTGCCAGTTTATGTTGAGTTGTGGACATAAGTTGACGGGCATCCTCTTGCAATTGCTCACGGCTCTCCACGAGAAAATTTGTACCTGCGCCTGCGCTGCCAACTGCAGCGGCGCCGGCGGGTCCATTGCCTGTGGTACAGGCCTCCATTTGCACGGATACAATGGCGTCTTCAGCATCCTCAAAGTTGGTGCCATACTTCAATGTTGCACTGAGATTCACCAAATGCGCAACAGCTTCACTGGCATTGGTACGCTGCTCACCGCCAAAAAATCGGGCCACGCAAGCATAGGCGCTCAAAATGTTCCAGAGATTGTAGTGCAGGCAGGGCGAAGGCGTCTTCTTGCACAAGCTTGTGAAGATGGGAATGTCCTTCTGTATTTCAGGCATGTCAATTTTATCATCTGTTGCTGCAGGAAGGACAACAATCTTGGAGTTCTTGGGCTTGCACCACCATGGCTTATAATCGGGCATTAGTTTCATTATTTCACCACTTGCAATTAGTTTCTGGAATTCCTGTTGCTCTTCAGCTGTGAGTCGACTCCAAACCTCATCGGCATCATTTATGTCGATTCCCTTTAGACGTGTAGCCATATCTACAATTTCATCCACTTCCTCGGCATACGGATTCTCTATGTCATCCGCATCTCCCTCGACCTCATCGCCACTTTGTTGTGGTTCTGCGTCGTCGTCATCCGAGTCTAATGGATTGTCTAAGCCATCTGCATCAAAATCCTCTGGTTTGAAGCCGGCATCTGATTCGCGCATTCGCTTCAGAATATCAAATATTTTACGCATATCTTTTTGACTTTCGGGCGTTGTGGTTGCACTGGCCAATTCGTCCTGGATGCATGCTTTGTAAAATTCTTCGGAGCATTTGAGATGCTCTTTTGATTTGTAGCAAGCGACGCTGCAGTAAATCGCATTGCACTTGGGGCAAGTATATTTGAAGGGTACCTCATGGCAACTGAAGGAAAATATATTATTAATACAGTTTAATAATTTTATTCTTAGATACATACAAGTGGCATTTGTCCGAACATTCAGACATCGTGTCTAAAAAACTATCCGCCTTGCTACCAAAACAATCCAGCCGTTAATCATATGTTGTTTCGTGCTGCCAGACTAGGCGCAATGTTGTCGCCTTACTTTGAATGGCAAATGTGAGCTACATGAAATATTAACACCCAAGCAAACCTTAATATTCACGCTTACCATCTTTAAAAACCCGTAATTAATGATGAAAAATTATTCAACAATATTTTATTCAAACATTACATTAAAAAACAAATTATTTGTTTCGTACGTATTCTTTGATAAGGTATTAAAAACTAAGACTCTCTGGCAGCTCTATAGAATAAACTCAAAGAGTGAATCAGGCCTATACTACGGCAACGCCATGCACTGACAGCTGCAAATCAAACTATGTTATAAAAACAGAACGTGTTCCGTTTTCAAGCGAGATCAACGTCGTGCTCGTTTTCGTGGTCGTGCCGAGAGTTTCCAGTTAGTGGTACGAAATGTCAACAACAAGCGCAATTAACGGTAATCATTACGAGCAATTGCATCAAGGACGCACTAACATGTACAAGTCCAAGGTGGATGTTGTCCTAGGCGCCCAATGGGGCGATGAGGGCAAAGGCAAGGTGGTAGACATGCTAGCCTCGGAGGTGGACATTGTTTGCAGGTGTCAGGTAAGCATATGCGGAACATATCAAGCCCATTTATTGTTGTGAAAAATAAAAAGTGAAGAAAAAATGAAATCAACTGATATCAGCCAATTACACAGTTATCCTTGTGTCAAGGACATGCGCCAGGTTCGTTGACGCCGACGCCAACGCCAATGTGAGCGCCGAAACTGTCATATAAAGAAATAAATCGCTGCCTCCTTTGCAGTCAGCATTTGTAACAGCATCTGAACGTTTCACAAGTATATACCTATTTTCTGCGGAATAAGCTATTATAGAAACTGTGACTGGCGGGCGACCGCATGTTTCGCTTTTTCATTTGTGTACATACATATGCACAGATGTATGTATATATGTATCAATCGTGACAGCGGCGGGTGTGTGTGTGTATCTGTATGCTTGTATTTCATATGAGTGTATGTGTATGTATAGTCAGTCAGTCTGCGAACGGCTGCTACCTCAGCGAAATTCGTCACTCGTTCTCTCTCCTGACGATAGTTGTTTCCGCTGTTCTATAGCGTTCGATGTTATGTACACTTATATACACAAACACGTATATGTGTATATGTAGCTATATGTACAAATACATACATATGTATATCTGCATAAATATTTATATATATTTATATATATATATATCTGTACATACATTTATATAATGTGCACACACTGCAAAACCCATATACACACAACTCACTCATGTACATAAGTAAACATTACCTACTCAGCAAAATGCTAGGTTTTACATAATCACCACTATGAATGTCCCGAGCGCAATATTTAAAAATTACAGTCAAAATTATGTACCTGCATTGTCAACATATACGGTACCTTCAGTCAGGTATTGCATTTGAATCATCAATTTATGTAATGTATTACACTCGTATCATATAAAGCCTATTTCAAAAGTTTAATTGATATTGCGTGTCGCTGTTTCGCTGACCCGGTGCTACCAACTTGTTGAATTCTGTTCTAGATCGTCAGTTCAATGAACAGAACCGCTGTAGTTCCCTTTAGCCGCACACAATATTATTTCCATTTTGCTTTACATATACAGTGTTTGTTATCAATATAGCAGTGGATTGTTATGTAATGCATTTGTTCTCATTTAAACTGATTTTTTCCTATTATCTGAGTCACACAGCACACGCCTCCATTTTCCATATATGTACATACATACATATGTACATATTGCGCAGCGAGAGTATCTTGAATATGCGTTCATCCATTTTGCACTATGTATTCGTTATAATCTTATCAATGGCTGAGTGCTTAAGTGATCCACACTATATACATACATATGTATGTACACATTTACATACACATATGTATGTATATTTACTGTGATTATTTTATTGTGATTCAATTTTTAATTTTGTGACGAAATTGTAATTCCAGAATATCTTGGGTACTTTTTAAATACATACATGCAAAACACAAAGATTCACACACACACACACACGCATGTTTAGAATGTATAAGATTAGCACATGACTGAAAATTGTACAGTTGCCAAGAAAACAAATAACAGTTTTGCTTTTCTTTATCACAGTTTTGATACACATTTCGTTGTTATACATATCATGTATGTATACAGTGAAAGTGCTATAATGCTATCTGTATATCTCCGATGTTTTCAAAAGATCTCAGCAGCGCATCCTTAACGTGCTCATTGAAACTTAAAGATAGTTCTCACTTGATGGGTATTCAGCTCCAGTTTGCGCTACATCTACAAAAACACCCGTTTAGTATAATGTTGAGCGAGCATTGTAGATATTTTGTCACTAGCTATTCGACGTCTATTTATTTGTCATTTAATACCTGCTGTTCGGAAATATTTATTTATTTATCACACAAGTTTTAATCAACAAAAACAAACATGCTAATTTTTTTGTATATAAACAGACAGCTACGATGTATGCCATAGTGTACGTATGTATGTGTGTACCTGCCTGTTTATAGTACACGCTTACGTATGTTATCTGTTTTCTCATTCTCTAATTTACTCATTTTGCTTTTCTTCTCACTCTCTTTTCTCTGTCTCTCTCTCTAGGGCGGCAATAATGCTGGACACACTGTGGTTGCAAATGGCACCGAATTCGATTTTCATCTGCTGCCCAGCGGCGTCGTCAACGAGAAATGCATTTCGGTCATCGGTAAGTGGTAGAAGGGTAGCCTGGGAGCCTGATATGGCCTGGATGGAAATCAAGATTTCAAGATTGACACCCTATGGGTATAAGCAAGATCCTAACTATCTGCTGTTGACACTCTCAAGTAAAAGAAAGCAAGAAATATTTTTCAAAATGAATATATTTAAATGAAAGTAAGCACCTTTTTCCTTTGTTTTCATTTCTAGCGCTTACAGTTTATTTTTCTTATTTTGAATTTAAGCGAAACACACACACACACACACACACACATAAACATGCAAACACACACATACACACATAAGCATTTAGAAAACTTTATATCTATATACTTTATACCTATACTATATGTTATACATATAGTGAATTGTTTTTATTGTTTTGTTTTTAGCTAGCTTGCCGTCGTTCGTTCTATAGCGAATTTGAGCGTTTATAAACGTAAATGTACACACATATGTACTATATATATATTTGATAAATATACAACTAGTATGTATTGTGTAGATGTTTATATATGTATGTATGTATATATGTATATGTATATAAGAATTTTTCTTGGCAAAACCAAATGAAACATTGACATTGGCTTTTGCGGTCAATTGGTCTTGCGTTTGGCTTTGACAACTGGCCTGCATTAAAGGCTATTTTATCTATTTTAGTTTTCACTATCTAGGCCTTTGCAATGTTCTTCAATTAACTGCCTCGAATCCCGCCGTCTAGCAAGTTGACGACAATCGTCGTTGACGTAGTCCACTGCTGCTTGCTGCAACAGCAAAGTTGGTGCCGTAAGGGCCACGATTCCTTCAACCTGTTTACTTTCTACAGTTAGTTAGCTTCTGTGTTTAACTTGTTTCTTCCTTAAAGTTTAATCGATATGCCAGCCTTCCGCTGCTTGTCACAGCCCAGGGAAAACAAATGTAGCCTGTCATCGGCTGTCACACGACTAAATTATGAGATAATCTCACCACTACACTTGAATGCAAGCCCCCCCTGCGTGCATGTATTGGTGAGCTGTGGCAACACATATATCTAACTCAGGGTTGTATACTATATACGCCTAATTATTCGAGACGAGCAATTAACTTATTATTCGCGACTCGATCATACAATAAAAACAAATTAATGTGCGAAAGCATTTCACAGTTCAAGTCACATGGCGTTCATCGCGTGTCTCAGCTTTACGAGCTTGGATTCGTTTAGCAACAGGCAACACATTTTATTAAAGCTATACGCAATTTGAATTTCTGTAAGCTGCCCCACTCGCAGCAGAGACCTCGATTTCACGAAAAGCCGAGTCAGCTATCAGAAAACTTGCGAATCCATGCACGTGTTTTTATTGCCAGTTATAATATTTGATGTTTGGCCTGGCTTACTAGCTTGGCTCGTTTGGAATTTGATAAGATAGCGCTGGGCGATTACAAAATAATTTCATATACATTGAATATTGTTGTGTATTTTCAGCATTTTCTTCTCTTATTTTCAGTTATATTGTTTAGAGTAGTATTTTTTGTTCAAAATTTGTTTTTATTTTCTTAGAATTGTTTGTGCTCGTCAAAAAATTGAAATAGCTAAGACCGTTTTATAAATGAAGTAAAATAATAAATATTGTACTTCAAATCATTTAAAATGTTACCCGAGAGATATTTTTAAAACAACACTTAATCGGTTACTTATATTTAATCGGTTACTTGCAGGCAACGGTGTCGTCATTCATTTACCTTCGCTGTTCGATGAGGTGCTGAAGAATGAAGCCAAGGGATTGCAGCAGTTGGAGAACCGTTTGATCATTTCGGATCGGGCGCATCTGGTGTTTGACTTCCATCAGCAAGTAGATGGTATGCAGGAAGCTGAAAAGGGTGGCAAATCCTTGGGTACCACCAAAAAGGGAATCGGCCCGGCATACTCAAGCAAAGCCACCCGTAATGGCATTCGCGTGGGCGAGCTGCTGGGTGACTTTAACTTGTTCAGCGAGAAGTGAGTGGCTGCATTTATATTGCTCATAGCTTAGTTCATAACTAACATCAATGATTAATACAGATTCAAATCAATTGTGAACACACATTTGCGATTGTTCCCATCGATTAAGGTTGATGTGGAGGCCGAGCTGGCGAGGTACAAGGACTACGCGGATAAGGTGAGGCCATATGTCAAGGACACAATTTGTTTCTTGCACACTGCACTGCGCAATGGCAAGACGATTCTGGTGGAGGGCGCTAATGCAGCCATGCTGGACATTGATTTTGGCACGTATCCCTATGTGACCAGCAGCAATTGCAGCATTGGCGGTGTGCTGACCGGTCTGGGTTTGCCACCACAAACAATTGGCGAGGTCATTGGCGTTGTCAAGGCATACACGACGCGTGTGGGCGATGGTCCGTTCCCAACGGAACAATTGAATGTAAGCGAATGCCTGGTCAGCGTGTAAAGGTGCAACTTATAAATATTATTCACTATGCAGGACATTGGAGATCTACTGCAGACGCGAGGTTTTGAAATTGGTGTGACAACGAAGCGAAAGCGCCGTTGCGGCTGGCTGGATATCCCACTGCTCAAATACACGTCACTGGTTAATGGATACACTTGCATTTGCATAACGAAGCTGGATATTCTCGATACATTGCCCGAAATCAAGGTGGGTGTGAGCTATAAGCGCAGCAATGGAGAGAAACTGGATCATTTCCCCGGCACCATCAGCGAGCTGAGCGATATTGAGGTGGACTACGCAGTATTGCCCGGCTGGCAAACGTCCACTGAGCACATACGCAACTTCAAGGAGTTGCCCGAGAATGCACAAAACTACGTACGCTTCTTGGAGAGCCAACTGAGTGTGCCAGTTCGCTGGGTGGGAGTTGGTAAAGGCCGTGAATCTATAATTAATGTACATTAGTTAGCCATACATACTATGAATATGCGTATATGAGAGGGAAACGCTTTAAAATCCATTTAACCCACTAACCAGAGATGTACCTAATTGTGAGTACACTCTGGGCGTTTATCTACAAACTTATCCGTAAAATAATATCTATACGACACTAATTTGGACACAAACTTTTAGCGTTCTTAAGTTTTATTTTGTAACTTAATGGACAACATATGCTTTTTATTTGACGATTTACCAAACAAAAATCGCACAGGCTTACATTTTCGTTTTTGTTGAGACGTACTTAGCTTTTAAGATCGTCAAGTAAAATTTTAATTTTGATATGCATAAAGAATAACAGATATTTTTATTGTACAAAAACTAATTAACGTTGATTTAATATTTAAATACAACATTGTGCTTTGACTTGTATAATTATAATTGTACTTTATATGAAGATCTTTGGTTATTGGTCCCGCTTCAGTCGCAAATTAGTTGAGAATGCGCAATAAAAATAATATAAAATAGTCGAAATATTGGAGTTTGATTTGATTTGAATGAACGATTTCGTTGTGAATGGTATGTATAGCGCGTATTTTATTTGTGCTGCCACATATTAATTTGACTGAGTGGCAACGCTGAACAAAGCTGATGTGCGTTCCGTCGTGAGTGTCACTCTTCCCATTTCGTTTTCAACCAGCAAGTTAACTGGTTCAGCGCTGCTCAAAATAAAAAGATTTGATTATCTCGACCAGATAAATTGCTAATAATGGTAAATATTAAATCAATAATATTCATGTAGTATGGAATTGTGTATCATTGCGTTTTTAGCAATGCTTTTCTGATTAAAATCCATACACGTGTTGTGACTCCGTATGCAACATAACCTCAACATAATACATGCTTCCTCACTTGTAGGCTGCTGCTCCTAAGGATATTGAGAAGCCCCATGGCGGCGATTCTACTTCTGTGCACCGCATTCGTATCACTCTGACCTCGAGGAACGTACGCTCCTTGGAGAACGTGTGCCGCGACTTGATCAACGGTGCTAAGAACCAGAATCTGCGTGTTAAGGGCCCAGTGCGCATGCCGACCAAGACCCTACGCATTACCACCCGCAAGACCCCTTGCGGTGAGGGTTCCAAGACCTGGGATCGTTTCCAGGTGAGTTAGAAATTCATCTTTGAATTTTGCTGTTGTGGGCAGATCAGATATCGTGCTTTGGCACACAATCTGCCATTGTACAGTATCATCTGTTTGCCCAGATTAAACGTATTCTCATAGTCCACTTTGCTGGTAACCCACACAATTTGGCTCTCCGAATTCGACAACTCAATTATATTCATAATTTACCTAAGCTTAAAAAATGCATTTAATAATAAATTTATTTTCTTCTCTCACGCATTATAGATGAGAATCCACAAACGCATCATCGATTTGCATTCGCCATCTGAGATCGTGAAGAAGATCACCTCCATCAACATTGAACCCGGAGTAGAGGTTGAGGTTACCATTGCCAATTAAAATCGGCTAACGACCTTTCGCTTACCATTACGAAAAGTTTCGTATTTTAATAAAAAAAGAAAACAAACTTTCCATAAAACTGATTGTGAACTTTATTGCACTTTGCATGCATGTTTTAAATAATTGCTGGAATGTGAAGTATGGGTGTTTCTTGGGCTAATAATAGTCCGGCACTGGTGCACATGCTATTTTCACAAAGTCAGCATAGCGTACGGTGCTATGATTATTAACATTAGCTTCCCTGAAGATATTATCCACCTCACGCACGGACAGACCTTCTCCCCAGTTTTGCAGCAAATTGCGTAGCTGTCTTGCCGATATGGTGCCCTTGTTTTGTGGATCAGCTGCTTTGAATGCGGCAATCACTTCGCCTGGAAGATTCTCCACTGAGGAGTGCTGGTGCATGATATCCAGGAAGTCAGCGAAGCTCATTTTACCATTCTTTTGCTTTAGATACGACACCAATTCTTGAATTGTGGGCGACAAACCCAAAGAGCGCATAATAACCTGTGGATAAACTAGTTCTATAGTGGTTTCCCTTTGGATAAAAAGTGACTAGTATTTACCGTTAACTCGTCTAAGTTGTTAATTTGGCCCGAGCGAGCAAATAGATAAAAGCACTCACGGAATTCTGAGTGAAAAAATAGATAAGATATAGGTATGAGCTCATGCTTGCTAAATGTTTCACATTTACTAATACTAACCATCGATGTCCTGTTCTTTAAAGTAACGAGCCTATGCATGAAAGAAAGTAAATTCAGAAAGTAATTAGCATAAATATTAAAATGGGAAATGGGGACAACCAGTCAAGTGGAAAGTAGTTTCATAATTTTCACATTGTAGTAGTTTATACAGCTTCAATTACATTTGCAAAAATAGCATACATTGACAATTTTTTATATACTTTACCATTTATATTATTGTTAGTTTTAGCAGTTTAAACGAAAAAATAAATAGTAAATAAACTAAAGAAAACTTAAACAGGTTGTGGACAAAGTTTAGAGCGTTGCCACCATGCCAAAAGTGGTCGATAACGAAGTCGATAGCTCGTATACCTGTGCAACAGCTGTCGCGCCGTGTTATTGACAAAAGGTGAAGAAGCAGAATAAATTTGTGTACGTGTGTGTTTTGATAGCTAGCTAGCTACGTGGTTATTGTGCGTGCCACCAAATTCGAAATCCTCGCAAATAACACTAGCGCTTCCACATAAATGCATACATCGGACTTTGTAATAGCAGCCTTGCTGCTTGCCCTCGTTGGGTATAGCAGTGCGCAGCGTGTGGCACCCGGCGTAAATCCCCAGCATTATGTGAGTACTAATACATTTGGTTATATTGTGCAACCAGCTGGAAGCAAATGTCTAACTGACTTACGTCTCTTCATCATGACCAACAGCAGCAGGTGCCCCACCAAGTGCCGCAACATCAACAGCCGCCGCCACAATACCAGCAGCACGGAGCACCCGGTGTGCCGCCCCAGCAATATGTGAGTGATTCACCATGATGAATCTATATTTGAAAGCAACTGATAAGTTTATATAATAGCAAGCGCCCGTGCAGCAGCATCCACAACAAGTGCAATATCAGCAGGTGCCAGTGCAGCAGCAGCAGATTCATCAACAGCAACAGCATATGCAGCCACCTGTGCAACAACATCCACAACAAGTACCGCATCACCAGCAGCAGCAAGCTGGCGGTCACCATCATGGACAGCCACAGCAGGTTTTGAACACGGGTAACATTCAGCAAGAGCGTGCGTAAGTGTCTGCTAGGGTTTATCTCTTGATCAACTATCGCAATCAATCAGTTCTACATACGAATCTTATCATTTGTTGTCTCACTACAGTCATATCCAAGAGCACATGCAGGTGCCCATCGATACGAGTAAAATGTCCGAGGCTGAACTGCAATTCCATTATTTTAAAATGCACGATTCAGACAACAATAACAAATTGGACGGATGTGAGCTGATCAAATCCCTAATTCACTGGCACGGTAAGAACCAATTGTTGAATACTTAATGTTTGTAGTTAGTTTAAACCTGTTTGCCGTTATTTTGCTTATGTTTGACTCATGTCTTTTGTTTTACTTTTTTTGCATATAACAAATTTCACTACATTTCGACTGGTTCCGGTTCTTCTGGTTGTGGTTTTGGTTATGCTCAACATCATTTAAAACCATCCCGCATGTCGGCTTAATATTTCATAACTAAAATCAACGACATATACAGAGCAAGGCAGCAAAGAACAACCTAACGGCGAGAAGCCCCATGTAGAGGAGAAAGTGTTCTCAGACGAAGAACTAGTGGCACTCATTGATCCCATACTGCAAATGGATGACACATCGCGTGATGGCTTCATCGATTATCCCGAGTTTATTAAGGCTCAGCAGAAGGCTGCCGAAAAGCATCAACAGCAGCAACAACAGCAGCAGGCACAACAGCAGCCCACTCATTAGTATATAGAATAGTCGATTCAGTTTTCATTATCCAATCCAGCATTGTTATGTCTTGGTCTAAATTCATGGCATACATTGTAATCCTGTTTCGCCACAACACAAAACACACCCACGCACACTACGTATTAAAATGAAATTTAGGCGCAAACAATCCAGCTCAAATTGTAAAATAATTCAAAAGTTCAAACAAACGTTTTGAACAGGCTACAAGCATTCCAATCCATCGGGCAACTTCTTTGAACAAATTGTATAATTAATAACAAAACTTCTTAAAAATTTCGAATAATAGCACACACGAATCTCATTTGTGATCAGTGCGATTAAACTATTTGTTTTTTGTTTAACCTTCCCCTAATTTTAGTTATTCGTTCAATCTGAAGTTAATTTTAAGCGTCAACTAGAAGCAGCGAAAACAAATCAAGGCTGATTGTGTAAACATTTGTTTTGTACAAAAGAAAAAAAAATTAATAAAACACAAACATTCTGAATATATAACTAACAACTGATCTTGAAAATTGAAATATATGCATAAATATATATTTACTTTATAGGGGCATAAAAATCATTGTAAGTAATGTGTTTTTAGAAAATAAAAATGAAGTGAAAAATAAAAGCATTATACTTAGTCAAAATATCCATTACATGGCTTGGGGAAAGATATCAAAATGAAATCACTTTTTACTGTCTTATTCCAGTTGAAGATCCCCACAAGCCAATTACACCGGGAGCTGCTGCTGAAAACCCAGATGAGCCAGACCACAAAACAGGCAGCGTATATACCGATAAGACTTTAGAGGAGACCATAGACTACGTACTCAAATCTATGGACTTGAATAACGATGGCTATGTGGACTATGCTGAATATCGAAGAACAGAGTCGAAATTAGGCAAGGACTAGATGTGAAACAATGACTATGAGAGCCATAGAACTTGACGCAGATTTTAGATTTTTATTGCAGTTTGTTAATTATATGTACATATATTTTTTACTTTTTCATAATAAAATTGACTTCTGAATTCGAAAAGTGCTCGTAAAATTTATTCAATGGGCCGATGCGACGTTAATAAGGAAAATTGGAAACATCACAAGGAAAAGTAAATACAAAATTAAATGGAACTGGAACTGGTTCACAAGGATTCCTAATTATGTGCAATAATTTTATTATCTTACTATCTATATCTATTAAGTTTTTCACACAGCAAGCACCTCTTACGGTACAATCACAAACAGCCGGCCGGCTAGTGGCATGAAAGCTGTCACCACACATAAAAGCTCCTTAAGGTTCTTGAGCTTTCAATCTGCGTCGAAGCGTCGCGGTAAACAGTAGCACAAAATAGCGAGGCGTAAAATAGCAAAATGTGTTGATAAAGAGACAGACGAATGCCGAAGGGAATCGTTAAATACTACACCTAATAATAATAATTATAATTTAAAGTGCATATTTATATTTATTTTCCGCGTGTGCCCAGATATTTGAACGACCTAGATTTCCATTTGCAATGTAAGCAAATAAGAAAAATAAGTGCACAGCAAGAAAAAAAATGCTTTTGGGCTATGTTTATGAATTGCATGCCACGAATTCCGTTGCTCGGGGTGACCCTGGCGGTGCAATTGTTGACTGAAAATAAATAGCCTCAAGCATGTCCGGGGCATGGATCCCCGGTGGGCATAGCACGTGCTTGCGTGTGGCTATTAATTGGCCCATGTGTAAATATTTTCAGTTTCGTAAATAATATATGGAGTGGGTGTGATATCGATTTTGCCAAGAAGCCCCCTGAAAAGGTTGCGAGCGGGCTGCATGAGGGTTGTTTGTTAGTGGAGCGATGTTTAGATAAGCCGGCCGGTATTTTCTGTACAAATATAATCACGTTATTATACCGTGAACCCGTCGAAAATGAGTAAACTATTTAAATGCACATGTAAAAGAAGGCGTGTCCGAATATATTAAGGATTTATATTCCTAACCAGCATGATATATATTTCCGTATATAAATGCCTATAAAGGGGGATAATCTCTCTACCTAGTAGAGTCACCGCTAATCATAGCTAACTTCTTCCTTGTAATTTACATACATAAATATTTGTAAACTAGTGACATTAATTAATTTGTTGTTGTTTTTTCTACTACAGGGCTGCAATGCAGTCCAGTAGCCGTCCCCGTGAGCGCCTGCTCTACGCCTTTCGTGGATGGATTGCGTTTGTTGCATTTATGGATCTGGGCACAGCGTTCCGTAGCTATATAGAACGCCGCAGTTTCCTGGGCGATCACAGCGATACACAATTCATCGAAGGTAAGCGCAATATTATGTACGAAAACATATCAATGACTAAATTATAATCCTTTAGGTGATTATACCATTTCCCGTATAATTGGAATGTACTGTCTTCTAAAGGCAATCGCTTTGGTGCACTGTACGCTGTACATACACTATAGGCCGTAAGTATAAGATTACAATGAAAGGGACTACAGAAACATGGTTAATGACTCCCATTCTCTGTCCCGCTCACTCTTTACAGCGTTGTCAGCATGGGCGGTTGTTCATTGGCTCTCACCATGGTCTTCTATGCCACCGAAGCACTCTACTTTCGTTCAAGCACTTTGAACTTTTACGTAATCTTCCCTTGCGTCTTGAACAGTAAGTAGATATATAGAAAATAAGCATGTATTAAACATATCTATATATTATACAGCAATTACTCTACTGGGCCTCATATATATACCAAAAAGACTTCGTCTCTGGGAACCCAATATGGATCTGGATGATGAGAACTCGCAATTATTAAAACAAATGACTGGTTATAAAAGACGTCGCGCGAAAAAGCAATAATTTAATATTGATTGAAAACAACGAACAACTTTAACAGTTTGAATTGAGAAATTGGAGATTGAGATTGTGTTGTAGAGCGAGACATAAATAAGATGTTGAATCCGTTAATGGACTGCAGTGATGTGATCAGAAGCATCAAACAATACTTAATTAGCAATACTAACCAAAGCCAAATTAGTGATTTTTTCTATTAATTAAGAACAAAGGAGTTAGCCTCAACATACATACGTCAATTGCTGACATAATCACATAAAAACATTTTGTACTTCCTTTTTAGAATACATATAAAATGCATTATTAAACCATTATAGAGTTTATAACACTTTTAAAATATGATAATTAGATAATGCCATTACATATATAAGTTCAAAGTTTAAATTTAAGCAAATTTAATGTTCGACTCAAGATAAATGGCTTTAAATTTACAATCACGTTTATAATTAAATATTAATAGTATTATGTGGAATTTTTCCATTAAACTCACGAGTAGTTAATTGCAATATTTGCACGTTTGAAAATTGATATTTAGAGTTATATTCAACGATCATATACATACATATTTAGCAAAGATGCTTTGTATCACACGTAACCCAATATATAATTAAAATATATTAAAACAATAATAGTTTTTAGCACCAACATGGTTCATGCTGATATATATATACTCAATAAAAATAAAATGAAGTTATTCATGCTGAAAGTTTAATATTTTTGATCATTGTTTGTATTCTGCGTTAAGGGTTAAAAAAAATTTTCAAATAAACGACGATTTCGATAGTAAATTATGAAAAATATCGCTATCTTACAGCGCCATCGCTAGTTTAACAATAACATTTTGTTAACAGAGTATGTTTTACGATAAACATAGTTATTGAAGTTAATATCTGTTATCGATATCCACGTTCTTCACCTGGCGCATTAAATTTTAAAAGAGATTACATCAATAATATTAATAAAACATCTGTTTTTGGAGTTAATGTAACACAATGTACCGAAAATTGAAGAAAAGAAACAATGCCCTAACGGGACTAAACACAATTGATGAGAATGCAACGATAAAAATACCGGTAAGTGATCGTTGATCTTGCTGTGCATGAGATCAGGAAATAATTTGTATCACTTAATTTTTTAAAGCGAGTGTCGTCTGCAAAGCAAACAAATGCGACCATCGAGACACTGAACGGCGAAAGTGAAGAGGAAAACATTCCAGCTTCCCAGGAGCAAACTCAACGTTTTCTGTCTCAGCATAGTATAGCATTGGCCGCAACATTGGGGCGCACACAGTCTTCAGGCCGGATAAACAGTTCCCGCCAACCGAACAGCTTCTTTGAAATGGTACTGATGAACGCGGGTGTGCAATTGGACCAATCGGACACGTTTGTGCTGTCCTGTGATCATATTGCCATTGTTTCTAAGCTACGTGATATATTGGTGCAGTCGCCGAAATATCCGGAAAATATTGAAACATTCAAGACAGGGCTAAATGCTGCGCTGGCGCCCAAATCGAAAATGGCCCAAAAACTACTTAGTGGCTGTACCATAGACACAGCTGGTGAAGAACAGGTGTATCAATCGCAGAACAGCATGTTTATCAACTTTCTGATGATTGACTTTCTACGCGAGCCCTGCCTGTCGGTTCTCTTCAACAGAATCGAAGAGGTTGCCAAATTGGAACGAGTGCAAACGATTCCCGGTTGCATTCCCCTGCTACCCCTGATGCTTGCCCAATTGCGTTATCTCACTCTATCGCATAGTGATCAGATTTATACGCATATTGAACGCATATTCAATAACGCCTCAGAGTCGTCCAAAATGGATATCATAAGCAGTGCAGAGTTTCTGTTAGATGCTAGTAAACACGACGAGTTTGTGGAGTTGCTCACGTGAGTGTTCTGTCGTTATATGTGAGGAGCTGATTTAAGTCTGATCTACTCCATTTCAGCATTAACTATTCGAGCAGCAAAGATCTTTTCCATTTGACCACGCTGCAAATGCTGAGCAATTTGACGTTAAGCGCAAGGACTCAAGGAAAACTGCGTGAGAGAATCCTAGATTTTATTAAGGACGATAGTAGCTGCTCGAATGTGGTAGGTCACTCCCACAATATGCTGTTAACTATGAAGCATTTATAAATATATGAATTTAATTGTAGACTCTACCGCATCTCATACGCCTCCTGCTAAATAGTCTTAATCAGGACACCGATGATGTTGTGCGTGAGGTACATATTATTATATGAAATATATCGCTCGTGTGTTGTACCTCAAGTTTTGGTTTGATTCTCTGAGCAGCTGGTCTCCACACTGCGTGAAATCTTTAACTGGCGTCATAGATCACAAGGCGAAGACTCTCAAGAGCTGGCTATTCCTGCAGCCAGTGAAAAACAATCACAATTGGAGCTCTTTGGTTTTCTGCAACAAGGTCTTAAGCGTTCCAAGCGATTCTATCAAATGTGGCAGCGTACTATTAGCGGCTTAGCGGCCAGTGAATTTAAGTAAGTCTTACTAAATTATTTATTTTTCCACTTTTTAAATTGTCTATTCAAAACTTGCAGATCCTTTGATTTTATAATGCTGCTAATACTCATTGATATCAACGAGGATAATACATTATTTATTGAAAATTTAGTAAGTGCGAAGTAGATATTTAATGCCCGATTATAATTAAATTGTCTTTGTACTGTTATAGCTGCGCCGACGCATTAAACTAGAGCATATCACAGTTAACATATTGGATGAAATAAAAATGAATTATTCGCATATTTTGGAGCAGCACATTAACACACTGATGCACTTGCTCCATGACTTTATGCGAGAAAAGAATCGTATTGTAGCCGATTTCGCAAAAGCTGCGTACAGGTGAATTTGATTGAAATTGTCATACTTATGCATTACTCACCCTCAGTCTGATTCGCACAGCATACTCTTTAAGATCTGCAACTCTATACAAAAGAGCATACTGAAGAAGCTGCTGGAGCTGACGTTTGACAAGTCAGCACAGCATGTGACCACCACATTGACTCTGCTGCGAGAGCTTCAGCGGAATAATGCTAAGCATGTGCAGAATTGTGCCATGTTGTTACTGCCTTTGCTGGATCGCCTGAGCGATTTGACACTGCCACAAACACGTCTCGCCATGGATCTGCTGTGCCATGTTGCGTTTCCTGATCCCAAATTGCCCGAGTGTGCCCCACTGCAGGACCAAATCGAAATGGTCGTAAAGAAACAGCAAATAAATCGTACGGAATACGTGAAAAGGCAGGGCATCATAGGCTGCGTTCAGCTGATTGATGCGATAGCGCGCATTGAAACCATGCTCATCAATAACGAGGACTTGCAGACCAGCGTGGACAGCATTACTTCATTGCCTGATGGTCGCGGCAAGCAGGCGGCAAACCTGATAAGTAAATTAAAATTTGTATTATGTTTATACAAATTAGTTACTAATACTTTATGTATGCAGTGCTCACCCAATCAGCTATATGTAACTCCCCCGAATTACTGGCATTGTTTTACGATGAACTGGCCAGCGTGTTAACTGTGCGCTACTACAACGCCGAGTCTACTTATATGCTCGACAATCAGTTTCTAATGTGGCTATGCGAGCTAATGACCTATCGCTTTCAGCAGAGCTTTGTGAATGATCATCAGCCGAAGACAATCAAGTAGGAAATTTAAATCTAATTACTCTATCGTGTCATCATAAGTTTGCATTTATTGCAGAGGCTTGCGGTTGGAGTGCCAGAAGAACATTAATGAATTGGACGAAACAAATGTTAATACCGAATCAGCTGTGCTAGACATTGGCATTAATATATCCGAATTGGTGTTGAGTCCAAATAGCAAGTTAGTATAAAGATTCAGAAAAATACGCCTGTGCAGACTATAACTGTTGCTTTTTCAGCGCCAGCGATTCCATTTTTGTTCTAGCGCCACTTTTTCACCTGGTCAGCGTGCTGCACAATCAGCGCTACCAGTACAGTCTGGAATTGATAAATGCGCTACAAGGCTGCGCCATTGTGCTGCCCACGTTTTTTGATGATCCCAATTATTTGGCCATCTTTGATAATTATGATGAGGAAACGCAAAAGCATATATTGCACATTTATTATCACACGATCAACTGGATGCGTGTGACGATCTGTGCTTTTGCATCCCAAAAGCATGAGGCCACACGCAAGCGGGTTCTAAAGCGCCTCGCTGATCTGATTTCCACAGAGCAAAGATTAAAGCCGCTTTTGGCGCATGCTCCGGTTGGTTTTGTACCACCGCCATGCCAGTTCCTCAACAATCTTAAACAGGCCGCCCCACAGCAAGCTACTCGCGAAAAAAGACCTGCAACCAGCAAGGTGAAGGCAAACAAGCTTAATAACGAATCTATCATGGATGAACCGCAAAGCATGGATCAATCAAAGCTGGGTGATCTGACCATCAAGTTGGGTGCCTGCAAGTCCATTAAATGTAAAATCAATTTTGAGCAATTATATGGACCCTTGGAATGCTTTAGACAGCTTGATGTGGGCATAATAGTGTTGCTGAAAGAACAACCTTTCAGTCTAAACTATCCACTGGAAGAGGAGGAGGTGGGCACTCATTTGGGTTTGCTTGAATTGCGTTTTATACTCACAGACCTGGTGCATAAATTGGACACGATTATTAATGGCTGCCAAGACGTGGCCGAAGCCAATTCGTTAAGGTCGCATGTGGCCAAGCCAGAGCATTTTATGTCCGACTTACAAAAGTGTCTAGATGAAATTCATCTGCGTTTAATCACCTTGGCAGCACACATTGACCAGGAAGTAGAAAAGGTTAATAACGTCTACAGCAATTTAGATCTGTTCAAGGATCGTTTTAATTATGTCAAAGCTTGCTTTGGCTTGTGCATTCAATTGTTTGCATTGTATTTCTCATGGAGTGAGTGGAGTGACAAATCCAAATCTGAACTTCTCGAGTGTGAGTAAAGTGTAATTATAAACATGGGCATGGCTGATGGATTATATTTGAATTAGCGTCACTGAATTCACTGATGCCACCTGGTCAACGAAAGGCAGCAAGAAAACCATCCGTAGCGCGCATTGCATCCCAGATTTTTGATTACTTCTGCAAATATGAGAAATCGGTGCTAGTTCTTGGCACTGCTGTGCAGCTGAAGCATTTGCTGCGCAGCTTGCGTAAGTTGAGTTGCTCCGGCGAGAATGCAGTGCAGCGCAGCAATCAGCAGGCCGAGGATATACGTAAGTCGTGATCATTATTATATATTTTTTTCTGATTTTTTGTTGTTATAGGAAAATATTGCACAAATATGCTGA